TCTCAAAGGATTAGAGAACTATATGAGGCAGGAAGTTTCCTCTAGTGCTGGGAGTGGTTCGTCCCACATTACTGGAAATACTGTGAGACAGCAGGGAAGAGCTTGGTACTTAGGTAAAATTGGTTTGTATCTTCTCAGGATAAATAATGCAGTTTTGATCTTAAAGCTACTTCTGTTTTCTTGTGATTTGATGAATTTTACAGAAAGGAAAAATGAATAAAGTTGATACTTCTAGAAAATAATCCTGTAATAGGTGAGGACTAGGAAGGGTGTTTGCTTTAGTATATCATTCATATGCAGAAAATAATGGCTAGGTGTTTTAGAGGAGGAGTCTTAGGTGGAGGAACGTTCTCCAGATGAGGCAGAGAAAGCTGGGCTGGAAGCTGTGATTTTGTAAGGAAAGGCAAAACAGAGAAATGGTTCCCATATCCATCTTCTGTTATCCAGATCACCAGCCTAAAGTTTCGGTTGTTTTTTTTTCTGTCCCATTTCTAACTGTAGACTGATTCTTTAAAGATTTATCTGGATGGAAGAGAGGGTATTGACTGGCGTTAGGACAAGAATGAGTCTGAGAAACTAATCTCAAGGTTGAGCTTAATTGATGCTAAACTGATGAGTGACTGTCTTGTTGCTTGGCTAAGCCTGCCTTTTTGGAAACACTCCTCTACAGCAAGAGCACAAAATGCTGGCAGGAGCCCTGCGTAGTTTTAAGCTGTTGCTACAAGCTGTCACCTAGATTAGCTGGCAAAAGAATGTTTGAACCTGCAAATTACTTTGGCAGAGCCCAGTCTCTAACCATAGTTTCCTGGCTGTGAAATTTTTCCAAGTATTGTACTAATACTTTGAGGGATGGGGGATCGCAAGGTTTCAAGGCAGCAGATATCTGCCTGCATTCACTGAGGGATTTTTAGGTTGGCTTTATGTTTTTCTACACTATTTTTATTTCCCTGGAAGTGTATGCAGTCCATTTTCAGAAGGAGGTGCGGAGACATCGCTAATACCCATTCTTATGCTTTTTAGCTTTCATTATTTAAACTCCTTTTAGAACTAGGGTTTGTTTAGTTTGTTGGTTTTGAAAAGTTTATATATCTTCTGGTTAGCAGTGAGTTACACACAAGCTCCTATGATCGCCATACAATCCATTTTACCTACAGAAGAAAACCAAAACGACTTACCAGGTGATTCACAATTTCTAAACCCAATTCACTTGTGGGTTGTGCCTAGTAACAAGAACAGCAGCTAAAATACAGGAAGCTGGCGTTAAAGTTTCAGATAAGCACTCATAAAATGTAACATTTGAAAAGCATGACATGCTTTCCAGAAGTAATGATTTGACAAGAACAGCTCCTCCTGCCCTGTTTAGCTCAGTGTAAGCTAATAAGGTTTTTTGGATGTGAAGGTAAACTTCCAAATTCTATTTTTGCCTTATGCTTATAAGGATGAATGTCTAGTTAGGTAGACAGTTTAGACCAGGCTAAGAAAAAGCCAGTTAGACCACAGCAGTCCACATGATGTATCACCACTTCATGTAATGTCACCTTCTACAATAGCAGTATCCTTATGTTTCCATTGCTTTTTATCTGTTGCTGCCATTTTGCACTCTCACTAGAGCAAGCTTCAGCTGCCCTTTACTGTAGCATATTTTGAACCCTTGTAAACATATGCATTAGGAAATTTACTTCAGATAAAGTAATTATCTGAAACCACAGCACAAAAAGTCCAACCAAATCTAGTCTCGTTAAATTAATCGTGACATTAGGACATCTCATCCTTTTGACTTCATGTTTATTTATTGATTAGGAGAAGGAAAACAAACATCTCAGTGGTTTTTCAAGTTCAGGTAAAGTGGTTCAAATGCAGGAATGTTTCTAAATCTCCTAGCTGAAGAGAAAACAACAGCAATTAAGGCAGAAGTATCATGAACAAAACAATATTGGCTTTTGGAGACAAATATCTTTTTTTTCCATTGTAAAGATTGCCAAATGTTTAATTTTTTTGTGATGTATCTTTTGCATCGCCTGTTTCCCCCTAGTTCTGTAAGCAATTAAGTTGCTCCGCTTTTTAAAGATTTAATGATTTTATTGTTTTGTGCTATTTTAATCTGTTGTGATAACTAACAGCAGATTTTAATGGTTATCAGAAACTCTTGGAGTACATTTTCAGTTTTCAGAAGGCTTATTTTCAGAAGAAAAATGTATTTAATTCTGAAAACTTGATTTGTTTTTCATTTTTTAGTTTAGACCCATTCTCTGTTGCTAACCATCTTTTGCCTGGAGTTGTTTAATTTAAAGGCTGTAATATATGAACACAGCAGAAGATGGATGGCAGAACTAGGGATAGGAAAATGCAAAAATAGCATAGTTAGTTTTAGGGCTTGATAATTTTAATAAAAAGTTTCACACTCATTTTCTGTTTTAAAAGCAGCCACCTTGCAGTCAAAGCCCTTTGGGTTTTTTAGTGGAGTTTGTAAAGCTCCTTTAATATAGAGATTAACGATTTCTTTTATTTCTTTAATGCCCTTTATTGGTTTGTAAACCTGAAGGCTCTGAATTTTATGAAAGAAAATCCTTTAATTTTGTGTATGCCTATTGATATGTGTGGTTGCCATGGTACAGATTTAAAGTGAAACTTTGAAATCTCTGACTTAAACCAGAATGATAATTTTTAGCATCATTTTTCTGATACAATTAATCAGAAGTCTGAAAAATTACAAGTACTTACTGCATTTAGCTGACTGGATGCTCTAAAGGTCTGAAGTCTAAAGCTCTAAAGTAAAGGTCTAGACGTTACTATGTGGTCTTAAACTTTCTGCAGGGCCCCACTCCCGGCGCACAAACTGATTTGTGTGATGAAATTTTGTCGAGAGTTCATGACTCCCTCTGAGTTGCAAGCCATTGTCTGGGAGCAGCTGCTTTAATTTCTAGCTATTCATTTTCATGCCTTCTTTCCAGTTGTTTTGTACAATGCCGTATTGTGAATAGAGTTTTATATAACTTTCATCAAAGAGCTGAGTGGATTGGGAATTGTTAAAAACTTTGCAGCAGTTCCTTAGGACGTTTCTGCTTCCTTTCCTAACAGCCCCTGCTGTAGAGTTCCAGCTTATTTGATAAGTAGTCATTGATGGTGGACTTCAAGATTCAGGTTGGCTGTAAGGTTCTTTGAACAGAAAGATGGATTTTGAGCTCCATTAAGGACTTTATAGGAAGTTTATGAAGAACAGAAGATATCACATGGGCATTCAGCAGCCTGGGTTCACAACAGATGCTGCAGAATCGGTTGCCAGATAAAGGTTTTTAAGCCCAAAGCCTCCATGCTCAGGTGTGATGGCGAGTATGAAAACCTGAGGGCTGTTTGTGCATTAGGGTTCATGGTTGCATTTGTTAGTAAATGTTTTTCCTTTGTGAAGCTTGGCATCAAGGAGAAATCCAGGAGTATGTCTGAGCTCCAGACCGCTCCTGGCTAACAGCGAGTGCTGGTTTGGTCGTTTTTCCACTGAGGAAATGCCACTTTGACTGCTGAACCCTTTGATATACTTGTCTACCCAGTGATACCATGTGTCTTGCTTGAGAATATCTTACCAGATATATAGATTGGCTCTATTTGTCGGTTGATTTTACTCAGATAGAGCCATTTGGAAGGTAGTGATGTGGCTCCATGGCAAGGCAGGTGGGACTGTGTACTGCCTGAATGTTGGTGTTACTTGGAAACCAGCTGGAAAATTTGTCAGACTGCGTTCTGCTGTTAATAATGAAGAAACACTGATGGTACAATTGAGATAGGAATTAGAAATAACATCATTTTTAAATGAAAATAAGTTTTTCTTAGGTGGGTCTGATTATCTTTCAATGAAGAAAATGTTATCTAAACCTTCTTCTTGAGTTCCACTATTGAAACTGGTCACAGATTGTCAGTTTTCAGAAGTTGTAACTCTTTGCATGTAAATCGTTCTTCTCGAACAGAGCCATGTAGGTTTTTATACTGAATCAGTAAAATTAATATTTTCTGTATGTTCAGGAAAGGCTTTGAAAATGTAGATCCTCTTCACCTCCTTTTTTTTTTTTTTTTTTTTTTTTTTTTTGGATGGCAACTGTTTTGGCTTGTACATATTGTGTTCTATATTAGGTGTTCTGTGTGGATATACCAGATGTGATAAGACATGTAAAATATAGAATTTTTCACCAGACTATGTTCTGCCCTGAACACCAGTCTAGGCAGAAAGAAATTCAAGTAAATAAGAGAGTCAAGTATTTTAATTTTTTTGCCTGATATCATATAGCTTTCTACGTTACCTTTTTTTTTAATAGGATACTTTGAAAATTTAAAATTAACAGAGAAGAAAACTTTCTCTGTTTACCAGAAATTTTTGGCTTTCTCTTCATTGAGAAACTGTTCTCTGCTTTTTGAATGCAGGCTCATACCATTGCTACCAAAGGTATGGAAAAAAGTTAATTTATGCTCCCTTGACCAGCCTTACCACTGTGCAGAATAGCTCTATGCCATACCTTCAAAGTACCCACACTTGCAACTGGTTTGCGGAAATTTGGTCTATAGGGGACTAGGGAGAACACCTTATCTGCAATATCCAGATCTGAGCAGTGAATAATGGCATTTCTGAAATAACCTCTCAATAACAGTGGGAGCTCTTAGAAAGGAGACAACAATGATATTCTGTGATAACTTTGAGTACATTGAGTTGCAGCAGATGTGCAATCTATTAGTATGATATAGGAGAACTGTACATGTAACATTTGCCACCAGTAGTATGCATTCTGTACAAAAATTGTTTCGTTTTTTTCGCCTGGGCTTCCTGAAAAATCATCTTTGTAGTACAGTGCAGAAAAACAGAACTGAAACGATCAAGTTGTTCAAAAATAATTGAAATAATCCAAGTTTATTTGAAACTAAGGTGCAAAGCATGTTATGCCTGGGAACATTGTCTTGATAGCAATCACCTAAGAACTATTACGTATTCTTTTGTTGTTGTGTTTTTTTTTTTTAAGCTGGACCTGTGATCTGCAGAATGCTAACATACCCTCCAACTCGAAGAGCCTTAATTGTGGGTTGTGGTCTGCAGATGTTTCAACAACTGTCAGGGATTAACACCGTCATGTATGTATTTACTGCTTGCTTCTCTTTATAAAATATAAGAAAAAGACAGTTAGACCAGTAGCAGTTGTAGATGGGCTTCTGGACAAAATCTGAAATGTGAAAAATTGAGTGTGGGAGCTGGAATGCTGGTTTGAAATCCAGATACCGGTGTATTTGGCGTCTCAGAAAATTGGTACAAGAGGATGTTAGTATAAGGGCAAACATTTATATAGAGATGAGAACGCAACCTGTACTCTGGGAGATGTATTATTTTGTGTTAGGGTTTATGGTCAAAGCTATGTATGTCTAGATAAGAAAGTACACTTACAGTTTGAATTTGTGTGCAAATTGATTAAAATACTGTGAGGGTTAGACTGTTGACCATGTAAATGAGATGGAAAATCACTGTGAACTGCTAAAGGAGGTAAGACATTGAGGGAAGAAGCATTTCCTGTTATTACATGGTTCTGTTACATGTGTGAAGACTCAGTAAATGCAGAAGTGAAAAATAATGTATTGGGTGTTCTGATAAGCTGTCAGCTTGCAAGAGGAGTAGCTCTTGGCAAATGTGCAGTGCCCAAGACCTAATTTAAGATTAAATTACTGTTGAGCTACCCTACAAGAGTAACCCTAATGAATACGATTTCCATAGTGTTTTAAGAGCAAGTGTGAAGTATATTGCAGTAACATCTTACCGAGAGAACTACACCTAAGGAAGTAAGCTTGTTAGGAAATAGTTAAAAGGAACAGCCAAAAGGATAGAGCTTTTAGTGGTATCAAGAGCTGCCGCATTAAATGTTAAATATCTGCCACCTGTCACAAGGGGGGAAAACCCCCCAAACTCAGTATTGTTAAACTGTAACAAGTAAAGAGAGACTTTATAAAGTAGAAATTGTAGCCAAATACGGGAAACAGGGGAATGCGTAACTGGTAAGTTATGTGTGAAAACCAGAAGACAGGCACAGAAGGAGCTTGGAGAATTTCTTCAGGCACACCAGAAGCAAGAGACCTAATAGTCTCCAGGCCCAGTAAGGATCAAGACATTGTGAGAACACTAGCAGAAGATAAATATTTAGCAGCACATCTTACGAAGACTCTTTTTGCATGTGTTAATTATGGAGGGTGTATGAAAGTTCCTGCACTGGAGCTTACTTGAGACGCCTCAGAAGGTCTGTTTCAAATTCAAGTGTTAGGGGAAGAACTTTTAGAACAAGATGATTAAAATGAATAATGACAAATTGCTTGGACTAATCAGGGTGCACACAACAGGTCTGGAGTAATTCGAATACATAATCACTGAATTTGGAAATGTAGCATAATCTGCATGAAGATGCAGCCCAGAAAATTTTATTTCTGTCCTTATCAAAATTAATTAAAACTGTCACAGAATCAAATGAGATGATGTGTGTTTATAAATATGAAAAATGAACATGTACATGGAGAATATAAAAATAAAGAAGAACCAACATGATTGTTGTAGAGAGATTATAGCCTGGAAATTGGTTGGATGTGAGTTCATGGTCATATTAGAACTATATATTCCATATGAACTAACATCCTAGTCCATGACAGCTGCTGCCAAAGTTTCTTGAAGAAATCAGATGGTCACAAAAGTAAACGAGAAGCCCTCTCAGGTTAATAACTTTTAAGATAGCAAAAAAGAGGATAAGAATAAAAGATCAGTTATTGCAAGCCAAGAGTACAGGGATCTATGTGGAGCTCTTTGCTGCTTTATAAGTCTGCAAAAGGGGCTAAACAGCAAAATGACAGCTTGTACTCCTACACCATTCACCATATTAAGACCCCCAAATCTGTGAACATGTACAGTTGTGGGAAGATAATACAAGATAACAAATAAATAAAATGGCAAGTGCATTAACTATACCATATTATACAATAATGCTTGCAGGAGGAAACTGGGTAACTAACATGCATGGCAGTCTGAATTGTTACTACTCAACAAAGAGCTCTTGAAGTTGCATTATAACTCCATACAAACATCATGATTACATCCATGACCAATCTGGAGTAGTACAAACAATTGCAGATGCCCTTTCTTTTAATAAGGATAAACCAGATTATATATGGGGAAAGAGATGCCTGTGTTTGAACAGGGTGGTTAGGACTCTGCAGCTTGGAAAAGAAATGAGTTCTGAAGAAATGCAAGAGGCATATAAAACTGCTAATGTTATGGAGAAGATAGGGAGAGCATGATTATTCATCATTTCTTATAACACAGTTTTGATGACTCCTAACTCTTACCCAGCAGTAGGTTTAAAATAAACATTTTTTCATGCAACACATAATTACATAGTGGAACTCATTGCCACAGGATGTTACAGATGCCAAATGTAGAAGTAAGTTTAAAAGTTAATTGGGGAAACTTATATAATAAACATTATTGAGATGTTATTAAACGCAATGTGGCTGCAACCTCTGGCCAAGGACAGTCATTCTCATGTTTTGGTTCTTGCTACTTTAGGATGCCTTATTAGGCTAGAACAAAAAATTGACAGTTCACAAGGTTTATGACACTGGTAGGTTGACTTAGTTTATTTTAAACTTCGTATCTTTTAAAATCTCAAACTCCTTTCTCTGTAGGAGGTTTTACAAATAGTTTGGAATTGACCTAATTTGCTTGTGGATGTGTAGGAGGACAGAATTACAACTATAAAACATAGTTGAATCTTGGCTTTAAAATAAGAAAATGCCTATAATAAACACATGAAGGCACTGTTGTTAAAGGACTGGCTTGTAAACCATTTGCAATATCCAGGTTTTTTTTTTAATAATCCAGTAAAACTAAATTTTTAGTTACCGGGTATGTGAGACAATCTCCTATGAAAGGACATTTTTCAAATATAAGTAAGCAGCTGTTTATTGATGGTTTGCTTACATAGAAAATGGTGATTGCTTTTTAATGTAGTAATTCAATGGTACCTTGAGGAACTGTCAGATTGTGTTAACTCTCTAAGCACTATTTTCCTCTCTGTAAGGTTTAATTGTGTCATTCTGGGATTGCTGTTCTGCTGCAGCAGGAAAACAGGCACTGGTGATGGTTGGAGGTTGTAGGATTGTGTGGACTTCCCTTGAGTGGTTCTGCAAGTTAGTTTACCAAAAACAATCACAAAATTATTTTGATGGTTGGCATTCACTGTAACTTTGGTGCTGCTTCTCTTGGTAATACCCCTTTCTAGGCTGCAGGAGAAGAGGCTGATCACCCTGACTTGCTGTTGCCTGGCTTTCCCTGGCAGAGCGTTTAGTCTGTGGTTGCCCCCTTTCTCCTTATGTATTGTCATGGGACTCTTCTACACCATGACCAGATAACTTAACATGGCAGCATCCATGATGCCATGATGCCAGTCTTCTGGCTTGAGGCTTTCCACTATTTCTCATATGAAGGAATTTGTTAAATCTTGTATTTTACTGTAAGAAAGTGAGGACATAGGTGTGAGTTTGTGTGTTTGAAAAATTCATTAAAAAAAACCCAACACAAATCACAAAGCGGGAAAGTGAAATGAAAATATAAGGAAGAAAACAGTTGTAGAATGATTTAATACTTCCCCAATTTGTATATGCTTTACTGAGTAACTCTTCTATTTAAGAAAACAAAAGTTTGAATCAACAAATATGAGTGTTAGAGGTAGGACATTATATAGAGGAATTTTGCAGCGATCTAAAAATAATCACAGAGTACCCCGTAGTAGAAGAGATCCTAAAAAGCAGAAAAATACCTACAAGAAGCACAGGGAGACAACAACAAAAATCTAGAGCTTCTGTGCTTAAGAGTTCAGAAACCTGTTACATATTTTCTGGTTAATAATTGGGTATCAGCAGTGAAGCCAATGAGAGCAACAAAATCCGCGTGTAGTTCAATTTCCCTTGAGGATGGGGAAAGGAAAACCAGAAGAACTTTGGTAGGAATTGTTGAGGAGTGTGCTCTGTCCATCCCATTGTGCAATAAACTGATCTAGTTTTTTGCACAGGAATAGTTTCATATTGTATTTGAATCAGCCAGGTATGTGCGTAACATCTAGCTGTGAGGAGCCAGAAACTTGTCACCAACAGGGCGCTATTGAACTGGTGAGAACGGCGTGCGGAGCAACCTCTGCATTGAGGAGGTGGATCTAGAAGAGAAGCAAAATGTAAAAATAGGCTAAGGAGATTGTGACTCTCACAGGAACAAATTCTAGCATGATAAATTTAGTCAGTAAAAGAATAAAGCTCAGTGACCTATAGCTTTGATTTCTTTTCTTCCTAAGAACGAGAGTACCACTGCTGCTGTTGGATAGAGTGCCTTTTCGTCTCCTTTTTGTCATGGCTTTTGCCAGCTTAAATGACCTGTAAAAGATAAAGTCGTACAATTTTAGACAAGCATCTCTCGTACTGGTGTGAGCAGGTCTGAAATGGTTTAATTTTTCAGTTTCTTATCATTCTGGTATTTTCTCATCATGAAAACAGAAGCTCACTGTTTCAAGCCTGCAGTCACAAATCTGGCTGACAGGAGGCTGAAAAAGTCTCTGTGAAGGAAGTTATATTCCAGCATTTGCTACAAATTAGCTTTTTACTAGTAACATATCCAAGAATTTTGTTAAAACAGTGTTGTGCAGATATTTTCAAGCCCACAGTGGCCCATTGTTAAAACTTGGGGGAGGAGGACCATTTTAAGGTAAAACTTCTGAGCTAATTTTTCCCAGCAGTTTCTTCTTTAAAAAAATAAAATAATACTGAAAGAAGGAAGACATTCCTTTTTTAAGGGGTGGGAAGAAGAGGAGGCTTCAAGGATTTGACTGTTTCAGATTGCTTGGTGAAAAACATCAATAGAGTATATGGATGTTTTAGCTATATGCTCACGTTCCTGCAGGACTAGGACTTCGGAAAACACTCCTGGTACAGCACAGCTTCATTGCAGTCAAACAAAAAAAATACGATGAAGAAAGCTTTTGGAAAAAAATCCTAATCTATTTTGAATACTAAGCAGTAATGTAGCCATAACTGGAGGGAGTTCAGTATTGTCTTGT